GAGAGAGAGAGAGAGAGAGAGAGAGAGAGAGAGAGAGAGAGAGAGAGAGAGATCTTTTTTTTTGGGGGGGGGGTAATTTGCCAACTACCCCCATATGTTGACATATATGTCAAAATGTCCGTAAAAGATATGGGCACAGTGGAATGGCCTTTTCGGCTGACATGTTTGTTATATGCCCCTGTCAGGCGGGTGTGCAAATTCGCTGGTCTTTTGCAATTGCACCTACGAAAACTTGGCAACTGCCGGGGCATTTTGCAAAGTTGGGCAGCCTCTGGTAGGGGTACATTGCAAAGATGGGATCCAATTGATGGCGGGTGTGTTTCGCAAAATGTTTTTGTCATCGTCCTTTGCCACAGCATAGCTGCGGCAGGTCCACTTGATTTATAATAAAGGACGACGACCTTGAGATATCATCTTTGTTCTGACCGGCCCCAGGTAATTCAGAATTAGCTGATTCTGTTCATGTGATTGCATCTGGATTGGAACTCAGGTCTGTATTTCAGACCAGGTTCATTGGGTCTACCAACTGAGCTAGGCCCATTGGTTTCTTCTTCCTTTCTCCTTTTCTCCTTTCTTTCTTCTTGTTTGCCCTTATGGTCTTGTGGGATACTGTTTGTTGTGCATTCGTCTTTTGTCATTATTCATGTGCTTGTGCTTCATGAACTAGTTACAAACAACGGGCTATCTCTAGGTCGTGGGAGCCAAGCACATGGCCAGGAAGGTCAGGAAGGTATATGAGGGCAATGGGGATTGGACCCAAGACCTCCTGAATGCCATTTGTGTGCCTTACCAACTGAGCTGGGCCGCGGTATCTCTAACTGTTACACCCGTTGACTTGGCCATGGTTGGTATAGTTTTTTGTCTGGTTTTTTTTTTGGTCTAAAAAAATTGACATTTTGTTTCTTGGGAAAATTGTTGAAATGCCCTTGAAAATTGGGGTATTTGTTCAGATACCCCTAAAAGGCATAGGTATGGCGAAATGCCCCTATGACAGTTGTTAAACTTTGCGAAATAGCCCACTTGCCAATTGGACCTGTCATCTTTTGCATAGATCCCTACCGGGCCCTGGGCTACTTGTCTCTATGCCCTGGTATTTTAGGCCGTTGGACCCTGCAGACRGCGAAAGAAATGCACGGCCCCCCGGCAGCCCACGGCCAGGGCATACGGTGAAGTTGCCAGTGAGTGGGACGCGGGCAGATGCAGAAGTTTGGGCCATTTCACCGTACCCCTATGTTTTAGGGGTATATGACGAAATACCCAAACTTTTAGGGGCATTTCAACAATTTCCCCATGTTTCCTTTGGGCTGCTAGTAGCTGGATGTTGACCGAGGCACTCACCAAATGTGAAAACGACTACGTCTTCCCCCGAACATAACCCACCCTGAAAATGAACGTATGCAAGGCATGTTTCCTGCCCGATACGGTCAAAATGAGGGTGCGTTGTGTTTGGGGGAAGACGGTAACTGTGGTCGTTCTATCTTGCCACGTTGTAGTGGAGTATAAATTGGGCCTCGCCACACCGCTCCGGAGTTCGATAAAATTTTTGGGAGTGCTCGCGAACGTGAAATCCCATTGGAGAGTGCCCATTTGGCCACACTGCACTCTCAAACGGCCCGCCCTCCAAGTTTGAAAATGACAGTTGCCRCAATCGGGGGCACGTCCAGCATTCAGTGTGAACCAGTCTGATCAAAGTYTGTTTGTCCCTTTGAGCTCCACTCGCGAATCTGGGATGAAACTCGGAGGTCCGAAGGAGCTCTCCTGAAAATGCAGCTTTGCACAAAGAGAGGGAGGCATAGCGCGATATTGAATAGCGTTTTGACGAGGAGTTTTTGCGGGAACTGCAGGATGCGCGGTGGCGCGAGGGGGGGGGAGGAGGATACTTTGGTGGTGATGAGGGAGTACATGATCAGACGACTCGAAGGCATGATGGGGGTGGTCGTTGGAGGAAGGGAGGGCGTCGTGGTAGGATGGTCTCAAGAGGAACGGCTGATCGAATGGAAACAGACCCTCCCCAATGGCTCTTTGGTAAAGAGTCTAAGAAAAGGAAGGACGTCCAGCGGGAAGAGCGGAATGAGGTGCCTAGCGAGGATGTGGGAGAGAAGAGGCAGTGTGGAATGGACCCAAACCTGAGTCAGAATCAGGTAACGGTGGATAAGGAGGTCATCGGTGAGACTTCAAGTCGCCAAGAAGGGGTAAAGGGGCAGCAGGTAAGTAGGGACGGGATGCATGGGATTAGGGGGGAGAAGCCAGAGGGGACGGGGAAGGATAGAGAGATGGATTCGGGAGTGAAGGAACGGGGGGGAAGGGACCTGAACATAAGTAAGGATCAGGACATAGGTGAGACTTCACACAGCCAGGAGGGGCTGAAGGGGCAGCAGGTAAGGGGGGACGATGGGCAAGGGATTTTGGGGGCGACGCCCGGGGAGAGGGGGAAGGATAGAGAGGATAATATAGAGAAGAGGAGGGGGGGGCAATACAAGGAGGGGAGTGAGGAGGGGGAGAATATGGGGAAGCAACAGAAGGGGGGGG